TTTTTTTTTTTTTTTTTCCAGAACTGGGGATTGAACTCAGGTCCTTGCGCTTGCCAGGGAAGTGCTAATTCCACTGAGCCATCTCCCCAGCCCCCTGAATCACAAATTAGGTGTTAGAAAAAATAGGTAGGTTTAGAGGAGGTCAAGTGGTCATTTCAAGCTAGAACTGCTTGAGAAACGCAAGAGAACCGGAGAGGTCTTGCTTGAGTCTCTGGGATAGTTGTATTGAGAATAAGGATGGCATTAGGTAGAAAGCCTTAATCCATGACAAGGAAAGATACGTAAGGGGTAATAAACTGGTCTGGCTGGACAAATTAGCAAAAGCAAAAGAGTTACGTGAGGAAAACCAAGATAGTACTGGTATTGGGGTTTTAACTGGTAGAAGATGTTATACACAATTTAAAGTTTATCCTTTATCCTTTACATAGGGCTCATAGAAGGTGTTTCAACAGAGCAATGATATAACTGAAGGTGTGTTTTGGAGAGGTGGCTGTCAGACTTTCAGGGGGTATCAGGAGAAAAACTCAAAGTATCAGAAACCCACAAATGAAGCTATTGAGGCAAGGCAGATAGGAAGATATAAAAGTGTAGAATCTAGGCTCATGGCGCAAGACAAAATTATATGGGGACAACAAAAAAAGCCTGTTGATTAAAGTTCAGCAGTGATGAAATAAAAGAAAATTAAGACATCAGGATTATGAGATGATCTTTTCATCATTAAGATATCTACATGTCTGAACACAGAATGGAAGCAGTGAGTAGAAGTGGAACAGTATATTATGGTAGCAACTCTCAGTTACTTTTTACTCATTGCTGGGATAAAATACCTGACACCCAAAATTAAGGAAAGAAAAGTTTATTTAGCTCATAGTTTGTGGAGGTTTTAGTCTATATTTGGTTTGCTCTCAGGCAGAGTGATACATGGCAGAGAGCAACAAGCTGTTCATGGGAGCACAAAACAGCAAAAAGCCAAGGAAATAGCAGCAGCTGTGGCTCTTAGCCAGTGTCTCTCTTCTCCTTATATTATAAACAAGCTACCCTGGGGTTAGGGGTATAGAGCTCATACAATGTACATGTCCTTCTCCTGGATATAAAGAAGCACAAGATTTCTTCACTTTGAAGAAATCATTATTTATATGGGAAAGTGGTATGAATCCGGATGTTAAATAGAGCAAATATTTTGAAAACAAAATATGTACACATTTGGTGTACAGTGTACACCAAAATCTTCTACTTTATTTACTGGGATAGTTTGATATTTATAAGGTCCTTCATGTATATGTCCTCCTCTTACACAGGTTGAGGATGTTTACAAACTAAGAATCCTGGCTCTCTGCTGAGTCACTTAATTAAAATTTTAAACTTTTCAAGTTCACACAATGTATCAACTACTACAATCCACCCCTTGTGAACTTAGCAACTAGACATTTTTTAAAACCATTTTTTAGATATAAGGACATGTTTATCTTTAACATTGTATAACTTAGACATTATAACACAGCTTTAATAATCTTTAAGAACCATAAAATTTTGTCCCTGGACCCCTCAAAAAACTCATATATATCTCTTTATGTAAGGGCTCTTAGTCTATCTTCAAGAATTGCCAAACTTTTAACAGTTTTAGTGTTGCTGAAAAGTCTAAGTCTCCTCTAAGATCTAAGGCAAACTCTTAGCTGTGAGCCCCTGTATAAATGAAAAGTTAAATTTTTAATATTTAAAGGTATAAGATAAAAATTACCATTTTAAAAGGTCTATACAGGAGGATACAAACCATTGAAACCAAAACCAGTCTAAAATCTAGAAGGACAAACATTTAGTCTTGTGATTTTATGTGGAACATCTGAAGCAACCTGTAATAAGATGTGAGCTCTAAAAGCCTCATATAGTTCCACTCCCGTAGCACTTTTGCTGGTAGCTTCCATGGCTATTTTTAGACCTGCTTCGCTCCCTCCTTGTAGTTTTCAGACAATGTGTATTTTTGACTTTTTTAAGCTTTTGGTTTTTTCACTGAATAGGCTTTTTACTCATAGCTTTGAATACTGTCCTCTCAGGGGTACATTGTCTGGCCTCCCATGCCTTTTGAAATTTAGGTGGAAGCCTTTTTTAGAAAAATGTATTAGTGGATTAAAGCACCTGCACACAGGCGCAGGGGCTGGGGGTTCGATCCGGGGGCCTGTTGTGTTGGCCCTGTCCCCGGGACACGCTGAGATGGTAATTGAGACTGGGTGTGGTAGCACGCACCTGTAATACCAGCTCTTGAGAGGCTGTACACAGGCGGATCACTATGAATCCAATCTAGCAGTGAGAACCTGAACACCCTGTAGGCCCTTCCCTAAAATAGAATAAATAAATAAAATAAAAATAAAAAAGTATTTAGTACAGGGTCTTACTATATAGATCAGACTTGTAGTGATCCTCCTATTTTCAGTCTCCCACGTTCTGGGATTAGAGGTACAGGCCACCATGCCCTGTTTCAATCACCAGTCTCAGCACTGGCACAGTACTCCAGGGATTGAACCCCAGTCCCCGCGCCTGCCTAAGCAGGTGGTTTAATCCACTGAGCTATCTGGCCCGCCCTAGGTGGAAGTCTTTAACTTCAGAACTCTTGTATTTTGAATGTGCCTAAAATTAACACCATGTGGATGATGCCAGCTAAAGCAGTAGCAGGATTTTTTATTTGGGGGTGAGGGGGTAGGCTGAAGGGGTTGAGTGTCTGAATTGGTGAACACTGTTAACAGGATTTTGAAGAACAAATTTTTAAAGCTGGTGACATTTTGGAACCTGGTGTGGCTGTTGCCTCTATTTTGGAACATGAGGCTTTGTAGCTTTTTTAAAAAAAGCCAAGTCTTTTACCCTTGTGATTTTGAGGTTGTAAAGGCAAGAACTTGTCCCTCTTGTGATGTCCTCAGGACATCTTTTTATTTTTTGGGGGGGGGGGCAATGGAGAACTCAGCTCTATCTTTGTAGTCTATTGCCTTTTTGGCGCCTTTTTTTCCTTTATTTTTGGCCAAACCCACATTTTAAATTACCTTGTTGGGCTCTTTGTTTTTCACTTTCAACATATATCTGACTAAAAGCCTCCAAAAATAGCCATGCTACTGCCTCAACATTTTTTTTTTGTAAGATTAACTAGTCTACTGTATCAACCACTACAGCAACTATCAGGTCCTAGGTGCTTTACCTATAACCTGATTTAATCTTTCCTACAACTATACATCAAAGGATTTATTATGTACATTCTATAGATTAGGAAATAGATTCAGTGCTATAATTTGGATCTGGAATGTCCCCCAAAAGCCCATGTTTTGAAGGGTTGGTCTCCACCGTAAGTTTAAGAAGTGAGGCTTAGTAGAAGTAAGTTAGGTGACTAGGGGTATGGAACCTAGAACCTTCTTTTTTTCTCTTTGGCTTCCAAGCACAAGGTAAGTAGCTACCTCCTTGATAGTCCTGCCATGATGTAATACCTTGTCACAGATCTAGAAAATAATGGGTTCACTGACAACAGACTAGAAAATTTGAAGCTGTGAGTCAAAATAAACTTTTCTTCCTCATAATTTTTTTTTTCTTTGGTCTTTTTGAGACAGGATTTCACTATGCAATTCAGGCTGGCCTTGAACTCAAGTTGTAGCCCAGGCTGGCCTCTAATTATAATGATCCCCTTGCCTTAGCCTCCTGAGCACTAGGATTACAGCTGTGTGCCACTAAGCTCCGCATTTCTTATAACTGGACTCATCTCAGGTTATTTTTTAAGTGACAGAAAGCTAACACAAAGACCTTGTTTAAAGATACATAGCCAGAAAGAGGCAGAGGAAGGATATAAAAAGTTGCATCTATTATTAAAACATGATTTTTATATACAAAGTGTGGATTTTAAGGAAGGCTTTTAAAAATAAGGCACAGGAGTGAGGCAAGAGTTACAGGTAAGGACAGAAGGAGGCATTCAAGGGAAAAGGTCACTTTTAGAGTTAAACCACTGAGACATGAAATAAAGAGAAGACAAAATGGCTAGATTCATACAAGATAGAATATGAGGGTCTGGAACAGACTTGATATTTTTGTTTGTTTTTCAAGACAGGGTCTCACTATGTAGGCTGGCCTTGAACTTACTATATAGTCCAGGCAGACCTAAAATTCATGGTGGTTTTCCTGCTTCAGTTTTCTAAGTTCTGGGATTACATGTGTATAACACTAAGTCCAGCTTTTAAGTTTATGCATCATCACAAAAAATCACTATTTTATGTATTTAGTACAGGGTCTACAGGGTATCACTACACAGACCAGACTCATAGTGATCCTCCAGTTTTCAGCCTCCCAAGTGCTGGGATTACAGGTACGCATCACCATGCCCAGTCTCAGTTGCCAGCTCAGTGCAACTGGTGCCAGAGATTGAACTCTGGTCCTTGCACTTGCCTAAAGCAGGCACTTTAATCTGCTGAGCTATCTGGTCAGCCCAAAAATTACTATTTTAATTTCTTAAATGGATATAATGAATTTTGAACCTCGGATATGTAGTGATTAGCTATAAATCTCAGCAGATAATATTCAAAATCACTTGTGGAGCTAAATTCTAAACTTCTGTAGAAATAGTTAATAACAGATCCTGCTGAGAACTTGAAGCCAAGAAGCAACATTATCAGCATATTGTTGAAGATATGGGCTAAGTGCTTAAAAGAATGATAACAGCTTACATGACTCCCTCTAGGAGATGGTGAGCTATATTTAGAGTAAAAGGGAAACTGCCCTTTTTCAACATTTAAAAAATAAGATGTAATTCACATACACTTAAATGCACAATTTTAGTAAAATATATAATTCAGTAATTTATTGTATAAAAGTATAGAGTTTTTGCTAAATTGAAATTGGGTATTTTCAGGTATACAAACAAGCTAGTGTCAGGCTGGCCCTCAACACCTTTCAATTGTAATTTCATTATGGGTCAAGTTATCTTGTACACTGAGAAAATGTTCAGAGTTGTGTAATTATTAATAAACTTAGAACATTAGTGCAGATTCTTATCTTTTCAGAATTATTTAAAAAGGTATTATACTATGAAACATAACTTGTTTATAATTTTTGCTCCTTGGTAACAAAGTGTTGGACAGAATGATCTCTGAGGTTTGTTACAGTAATACTGGCATTAAATACAGTTTTGAATGACTTACTGTTTACAATGTACACCAAAATCTTCTATTTTATTTAGTGGGATAGTTTGATATTCAGAAGGTCCTTCATCAGGAGGCTTATAGCCCTAAATAAAACAACAACAAAAAAAGAAATCAAGATTAAAAACAAATGAACAGAAAACCCCAAGAAAAACATTTTTTACTATGCAGCTTTTTATTTTAGAAACATTATTGTGGGGAGTGAAATATTCAACATAAATATGCCAATAGACAGGCAGAGCAGCACATGCCTGTAGTCTCACCAGCTGGGAGGGTTCAAGGCCACCTTGGACTACATAATGAGAACATGTCTCAAAAAGCCAAAACCAAAACATTCTAATAAAATAAAAGAAGAAACATTTGCTTCTACCCTTTTCCTGGTGGCTGTAAGCTGGATTTGCTGACAAATTCATTTTTCTTGTTCATAGGTACTGTATTTTTAAGTATCTATTGCAGTGTGTAGGTTTTCTTCAGGGAAGGACATAAATCTGTGTAGTCTTGTTGTTTCTCTAGTATCTGTCAGAATGCCATGGGCATTCCTTTTTTTATTTTTATTTTTTTCCCATAATTTTATTGCGAAACAAATAGCAATGAGACCTTTTCAAATCAAATTGATAGGACAGTTTCAATAATTAACACATTTCATACATTCTTCCTCGTGGTTAATTGCTGTACAAGATGTGGACTTGATATCCTATTTACAAACACCATTAGAACAAATCCCTCTATTTATTAAGAGAATGTAACTATATATCTATCCTAACCACTTTGA